CCAGCTACTGAGAAGAAAATCAACTCTATTCCAGCTGAAACTAGGACATTCTCTTGTGGTTTTTTGCTACATGAGATGGGAGAACATCAGAAAAGGCTCAGGTAGAACTTGGTTTAATGAGATTTTTCTCCTGAGTTGCTACCACTTGATGGGATTGGGGAGTTGCCCACATATTAATCAATTGATTGGATATACTAGCTGGCACCCTGACTAAATGCACTTTTTCAAAGTAATTTAATTAATAACTGGGAAAGTGCATAAACCCCAAATATACTTCTAGAGTTGTGCTAGTAGCACTTCTGCTGGAACAAATAGGTCCTAATACAATATATATACAAGTGGAATTTATCCAGCTTCTGTAGCCCAGTTTAGCCAGGAGTCATAGTGCAGTATCATATATTATTCTGCTTCTGGAGACAACTTCAAAAGTAATTTCAATGAAGTTGGGGCTTTTTGCTTTTTTCAGAAATGTTAAATTGAAACTGCCTTTGTATTTAAGCAGAGTATTATTTTTATATTGTTTGCTGGGTTTGTTTGCTGTTTGTTTCTGCATGAAATTTGGTGCTTGGGTAGTCACAGTACATGCAGCTCTTGAATTTAAAATGCAGCGCACTGTTAAAAATGCCAGCAGTGTATACCTGCGTAACTCACTTTCTTGTCCTCTGAGGCTGCTGATAGTACAAGGGTTGACATTTTGCAGATGTCTGTTGCAGCATGCTACTTAAATGTGTGGTTTTACAGGTGACATCTTCTTGGTGCGTGGAGGGATGCGTGCAGTGGAGTTCAAAGTGGTGGAGACAGATCCAAGTCCGTACTGCATAGTGGCTCCAGACACAGTGATCCATTGTGAAGGAGAGCCCATCAAACGAGAGGTGAACAAACTCCTGCCATGCTGTTCTACTGAATCCCCTTTGTCCAAAGGACTGTTACCAAAACAGATTTAAGAGCAGCAGTGTTAGCAGTTCCTGTTTTGGCATTTCTTGTATTGAATATAATTAAAACCTCTGGTTTCAGGAGATGAGCTGCTGCTGAAGGTAGTCAGAGAAATGTGCTTCCAGTATGCTTCTTCAGATGCTGAGATAGCACCAGTGCGTAGGTTTGCTGATGAGATGCCATACTTTGGCAGCAGCTGGTTTTGGATATGCTTCCATACATCTCATGCTGGACTTAGATTCATCATTTAATTCCAAAATTCCCTTGATCCATAGCAGGGAGAGCTTACAATGTTAAATTTCATGCTCTGTGAAAACAAAGCAATTAGTACTTTTTCAGTGAGAAATTTGAAATCTCTAAATGGTTGATTTTGAAGGTTTTTTTTCTGTTCTCCTCCCTTGAGTGTCCCAAGCTTGAGGCAGCCTGAGTAGATTGTCTGTCAGGTCTTGGCCACCTTACTGTTACAGAGTAGGAAATCTCAGAGAAATGGGCTAAGGTGGTTGTGTGCTTTATAAAGTAAGTGCCTTTTTACTGCCTGCAAGTCAGGGTAAGTCCCAGTTTGTAGTTAGCTCTGCCTTCTGAAAAATTTACCTCTATTTGACACTTGAGGCCATGTCTGGACACTAGATGAGTCCAGTTTGGGCTCTTCAGGACACAACAGAGACAGATAGGAGCAAGTTCAGCCAGCCAAGGCCACTAAAAATTATGAGGAGCTGGAAGTCAGAAGGAATGAGGAACAGCTGCGAGTGGGTTGATGAAGCATGGAGAAGGGAAGGTAAAGAGGCAGGCTTACTGGCAACTGCCTGATGGGAAGGGGTGGATAATCAGGCTCTCCCAAGAGCTGCGCCCCAGGACCGGACTAGAGGCAATGACACAAGCTGAATCAAGGAAAATTCCCAATAGAAAAAAGTTTCTCCAAACCTTGGAGCAAGGCCTGGAGAGGGCAGGAATCTCTAGACCTGGAGACCTTCAGCACTTGATAGGGCCAGACCCTGAACAACCTGCTTGAAGTAGTAGTTCCAGTTTGTGGGGCTTGGACTGAGCCCCTCTAAGATGCCAGGCTGTGTTATTATCTTAGCATGGCCTAATGTTACAGATAACTAAGGGCAATAGAAATTTGGACAGCCAAATGAATGGATGCTGTAGAGCTATACTGATAAAGTTGGTTACAGGTGGTCTTATCTGCACATCTGGATTTTAACATTCTCTGTTAATTTGAGTCAATCCCAAAAGAAAACACTATGTCAGAGAACTGTATGGTAGCTAGGGTACGTCAGGTAGTTAGAAATTCCACTTACAGTTTAAGGAATATGTATATTTTATGTTGGGCTTCATTGTCTTATCATCTTTGTTAGCCACATCAAAGAGTCACATAACTTGTTTTGCACTAGAGTCTGTAGGGCCCTGGCAGCAGAGGCTGTCATTCAAGATGGTGGGGTTTCAGTGAGGCATTTCCCTTTGGATGTTTGGGAAGGAAGAGCTAAGAAACAATTGTAGAAGACACTAGAAAGACTTGAAATTGAGTATCACAAGACAGCAAAGAAATGACAATGAGCAAAAACCTGGATTCCTGGGTTCTGTAGACCAGGAGGGATTGTTGAGCTATTGTTTTCACTCAGATCTTTAATGTATTTCTTCCTGGGTAGGATGAAGAGGAGTCACTGAATGAAGTGGGCTATGATGACATTGGTGGTTGCCGGAAGCAGCTGGCTCAAATCAAAGAGATGGTGGAACTTCCCCTCCGACACCCTGCACTCTTCAAGGCCATAGGAGTGAAGGTAAGTCCCCATGTGCACCAGGTGGATTAATGGACTTGCCCTTGAAGATGACTCTTGATGTCAGAGGTTTGTGAGGTCTTGGGAAGGAATAAGTAATTTGGGTGTGTTGGGGTTGTTTTTTTGTTTGTTTGGTCTTTTTTTAAATGCTGGTGTTAGGAAAGTATTTCTTTACATGTTTTGGACATAGATTAAAGTACTGACAACTTGCAAAGCAGAGGGATGCTTTGAATCAGTGCTGTCAGTTACTGGCAAGGTTTTTGTTTGTCATGCAAAATAGCAAGGGTGTTGATAGCAATGCTGGGACAGCAGCTGTTGGGTGAGTTTGTATCACAATTTGGACTGGCTTTATCAAATAATTACAGATTCACTGTGAAGCTACTTAGGCATTCAGATACTAGCTCACCACCTAAGTCTCTTGCCTTTGTCCTCAGCCTCCACGTGGGATCCTGCTGTATGGTCCTCCTGGCACTGGTAAAACACTGATTGCCCGAGCAGTGGCCAATGAAACAGGAGCTTTCTTCTTCCTGATCAATGGTAAGTTTTCGGGCTGCTTTGGCCTCAGATCTGCTGTGTGCTTATTCATCCATGGTGTTAGTAGGGCTGGTAGAGCCACTTTGTCTCCTTGACATCCTTCCTTACCTCTTTGATGTGTGCTTCTGGGGACACTTAGAGGCCATTTGTGTGGAAGCGTCTGTAGTGGCACTTTCCTTAAGCTTGATTGTTTTGTAGCAGGCTGATTGGAAAGACAGCTTTGCAATGCAGGGACCTGGAGTCTGTCTGACTGAGTGTTCATTTCTACTGGTGAAGGCAGAGCTGGGAGGGGTGAGATTATTCTGTGTATATGGCTGCAGGATGCTTGTTTCTGTTGCTGCCAGCATGTTCCATTCAGAAAAGAAGCTGATCTGTTGTGGATTTGTTTTTCCCTTAAGTAAAGCACAAAGCTTGTTCTGTTTCACATAACATTAATTGGGAGGAACTGTCCTGAAAGCTATGAGTACCTTGGGACAGCTACTAGTGACAGAACCTCCTACTGATCACTCTTCACCTGTAGCAGTGGAGGTGGATACTGGTTTATGTCCTGTAAGGATCAGACCCTGAATTTTCCTCACTGCTTTTCTGTCCCATTTTACAGTCAGTGCTGGAATAACTGAACATTTGTACTTAAGGAGTGCTGCTTTTCTTCTCTGATTTCAATCACTTAGACCCATGAAGGTGAAAGCAAAGTATATAGCACAGTATAGCAGTGAGCAGCAGTAGGGAAGTGACTTGCTTTGTATCTCAAGCTATCAGATGTTTTTAACTATATGTCATCCTTGTCATATACTTCCTAAGTGTGTGGAAGGTGTTACTGCATGCTAATGAGCTGGGCATTTCTTTAGACACTTGTATTTCTATTGCATAATAAAAATAACATTGTCAGAATTAGTGATGCTGTCTGCTAGTCCCAAGCATGGAGCTGCAGGCAGTGCTGTAGACAGAGCTGGTATGAACTGGTGAGTTATTTGTAATGAAACACTCTTAGTACCTACCTGCACCAGCAGCTCTGCAGCTGGCACACTTCAGTCAGCTGACAGCCTTGTACTTCAAAGGGTCAGGTTTCTTTTTCTTGGAGCTCTTAGAAGCATACTTTCCCTTCATTACCACTCCCATCAGCATAATGGAAAAAATCTGTAAAAACAGAATAAATCTGTGAGCCTGCACTAGTGTTCAGCAATTGTAGGAGATCTCAGGGGAATGCTGTCCTTCCTTCTGGGATTAATGTGCTTACACATTTTTATTATTTATTCTTTGAGAGAAGATGGGGTTTGGGGTGTTGTTTTTTTGGTCGTGGCTTGTCATTGTTTTTGGTTGGTCGGTTAGTTGATGTGTGAGTCAACACAGGCAGGCAACCAGGACAACCACAAACCCATGGCTAAAACACAAAGCGTAAATTTATTTCCGTTACCTCACGAACCGGGGGATCCTCGAAGCAACACCTGGGCAGAGGTATACAAGCAGAGACAGAGGCACCATTGAACTCAGTCCATGCTAGAGGATCACTGGCTGCTGTTCACACAGGCTTATCAAGGGTCATTCCAAGTTGCAAGGTCACTTGAGCACTCACCAGTCTTTTGCTTTTTAACCCATTCCTCCCAACAGTTGGGGTTTTTTTGGAACTCATTTATAGGATCTTATTGAGGTAAATGTATATCCGTGTAATGCAAGCTAAAGACAGTTTTGTATCTTACAGCTTTTTCCTTCCCTACCCAGATAATTTATCACCATATAATTTGATTGCTTCTCTTGCAAGCTAGGACAAGCATTAACAGTGTGTGGTGGTATATTACAGAGAAGCTCACCAAGTGTGAAATAGGATAAGGAAAGAGGCAATTAAAGGTAGCTCATTGACTGGTGTAACATTCTGTTAGAGTAAAATGAAAACAACAAAATGATGATAGAAAGTAATTCTGCACACTGTTCTTGCCTGTTCAGATGCAAATTTAATGAACCTAGATGATAGTTGTTGGGGTCCTTGAGAGGGACGGACTACAGCA